GTATTCTGTGTTTTTGTTGGCGAACTCCTCACTGCACTTCCACCCAATCCACCATCTTGTTTGTTTTCTATGTCCTTTTCTTTAATCATTATTTTCTCTTCTCTCTTCATAGACACACTGCAGCCAATCTGAATGTTGAAAATCAATACTTCTAACCTTCCTAGATCTTGTTAGTGCTGGTAGTTAAAGTCCTCCTTCTTTCTCTTTAAAGCCTAGTTTCTACAAAGAGTAATTTCCCACACTGTATGTATTCTTCCCACCAACACACTGTTTAGTCCCTTGCAATCATACCTTACTTGAGTTGTTTCCCCCCTATATACCTATCTACTGCTTGGTTGAAAATTAGGTCATGAGAGTGAGTTCCTTTTCAGATCTGAAGGGAGGCTGCAAGCCAATGTCTCTGGTACTGCCAGTCTCTTTCAAACCAGTAATTGTGGTATTTTTAGTAAAAATTTCCTTATCGTTTAATTTCATTTTTCCATGAACTCTTTGAAGCCCCCTCATAAGGAGCATTCTGGCTTTACTTCTTTTAAGACAGATTATTATTATTTTCATTCTTCTGGCAGTCCATGGTATATTCAATATTCTCTTCCAGTACCATAAATCAAATTAATCATTTCTTCATTCCTTATTCATTGTTCAGCTTTCACATGCGTATAAAGTGACTGACAATACCATGGAATGGGTCAGGTGTACCTTAGTATTTAAAGTGGTATTTTAGTGGTTTAACATTTTAAAGAGGTCTTTTGTAGCAGATTTGCCCAACACAATATGTGGTTTTATTTCTTGACTGCTATGTCTATGGGTATTTACAATATATCACACACAGAAATTCACTCATTTGACAAACATTTATTAAGCACTTATTATGTGCCAGATATTGTTCTGCACACTACAGTGCTTTGGTCATAAAAGGGGTTAGGGAAAGATTCGTATGAATGGAGGAAAGGAAGAAAGCCAAGAAAGGAGTGATGTACAAAGGGAAATAGGAAGAAAGGAAGGAAAGAAGAGAGAAAAGGAGGGAGGAAGGCCTGTCCCAGAATAGTTCCCTTTCCCTGAGGTTTCTTAGTTCAGATTGGGTGTAGCCCCTCTGGAAATTATGCTGAACTGGAATCCCTGACTTCATCCTGGTCCACATCCACAATTTTAGAAGTTGCTGGCTCTCTAAGAATCAAGCTATGATGTAGGGGCAATGAGATGTGTTCTCTTTTGTATTGAAAAGGGCTCTGGCTAATAACACAAGCCACACTTCTCTTAGCAGAAAACCTCAACTTTGGTGGATATAATGAATGTGACCTACTTTATTTCCTTGGATTCCCAAATGGCCTTGACTCCCGTCTTTTCCTCCTGGTCCTGGAGCTCCCTGGAACAAAACAAAGATTGCAAATATAGCAGAACATAAAGCAATGGTCCTTTGAATGCTTCATGTCTCTTCTAGGAGGAAAATGAACTACAGTTGGGTAAAGAGTTATGGCTGTATTGATCCTTGCTCTGGAAAAGAATACTGAAGCAATAACATAAAGGCCAGTAAAGAGAAGAAACTTAATAAGGTAATTCATTCCAGATGAGGCATCGATACTTGTGGTTTGTTGTGAGTTCTTTCCTCCCAAAGAGATTTCAGGTTCAGTACTCACAAGTTCTGCTGTTAGGGCAGATGTTACTTAAAATCTTTCACATTTGAGGAAGGATTTGCATTGAACTTTACTCTTACTGTTTTTGTAGGGGTACAATTATGTTTATTTGCAAATAATATGAGTTGTACAAGAAGGCTCCGAAAAGCTCATAGGGGAAAATGGAATGAAAGATAATGAAAATCTTCCATGAACTTTTTGAAGCTCCTTCATATATTAGAAAGCTAAACACTTTACCAAACACAGTTAGGATTAATAACAAGATTTGTTAAAGTGGTATAAAATAAAATATTCCGAAAGGCTTTTTTATTGTCTAGCAAAAAGTAATAAAGGTAGATGTCAGTAAATGCCCATTTACCAACAAGAGAAAAACATAAATTACAAAGAATAAGCTTAACAATAAAGATACAAGAAAGCTTTGAAATGAACAAATATGCTATGCATCTGTATAGAAAATATATTAGATATAGTAAACGTATTTCCAACATTCCAGGAAGCATGTTTTATTGGAACAGTCTTAAAGCTGAATATTTTAAAATACCAATTCAGAGAAGCACAGCTGCCTTCCTCTATTATTAAAACTAGGGATCTGATTTTCCCATGGAATATCCAGATATATGGCAACAAAAATTACTTTTGATTAAGTTGTTTACAGGTACTTGTAAGCATTTTCAACACCAGTGAATTGAGTTCATTTTCATAATATTTTTGCCATGGTTGCTATAATTTATTTCTGTAAGGTCAGTAGTAATTACCACTTTCATTTCTGATTTTAGTTATTTACATCATCTCTCTCTCTCTCTCTTTTTTTTGTTGTTGTCATTGTAGCTAAAGGTTTGTCATCTTTATAGATCTTCCTTTCAAAGAACTGACTCCTTAGTTGTTCTCTTTTGTTTTTTGCTAATCTTTACAATGAAACCTGTCCACCATGGGTGATCCTTGGTATTTAAAACACCAGTGACATAACTTTCAGAATCACAGCAACTAACAAGCTACCAAAGTACAACAAACTGGCAGATAAGTGGACAACATACATAGTTGTATGTATACATACAGACAACTTACATAGTTGATCTTTAACCCATTTTCTTCTAACTTTAACTTCCAACTCTGTATGAAGCTAGCTCCAACAACCTTCATGTGCAATCCAGTTTCCATTTTTCTGTCCTTACCTTACTTCTCTCCGATCAGACACTCACTGAAACTTTCCTGACAACTTTTATAACACCAAGTCACTTTTGTAAAACTATAGTTAAAGATACTATTCCTAGCATCTCTCGAGTCTCCTCATAGTAATCTTCCAAGATTCCCCAAAGGGAGCAAAGTCTGACCATACTTTCTCATTTCATCTCCCCTTCCTGAGTCATATCTCCATGGATTTGCATACCACATTGACAAAATCACTTGCAAATATGTGCAGGTAGTACAAAGCC